ATCTATACTTTTAAAGCTCATAAACACCAGTCTTTTGAATGGATGCCTTACAAATATCCCGTAGTTATGAAAAAAAATGCCAGGACTCCTTTTGAAGTCTTAATTCTAATTCCTTTGCCATGTGTGGTGGAAAATACCCACCCTCATTCAATGCTCCTGACTTTGGGCTTGGGCATATGACATGCTTTGGGCAAAAGGTTAGAAGATATGATATAAGTAGGTATTTGAAAAGTACGTATACAGTCAAGCCTGCCCTCTTATACCTCTGACACTGCAATGACAACATGTTTTGGCCAGTCTTTTGGTCCAAGAAGGATGAAATACACATGCAGAGCAGAGCTGACCCAGTTGAGCCCAACATACAATTGTCAAACCATAGCAGGGTGACTAAGCCTAGCTTAAATTAGCTGAGCTACCCAACCAAGCTCAAACTAGATCATCTACTGCCCAGCCATCCACCCCCATAAATGTGTGACCCATAACAAATAATTGTTGTTTAAAGTCACCAAGTTTTAGAATTGTTTGTTACACAGGACAAACTGACCCAGACATGGCAATAAGAAATACATTTCCCTTATGTCTGGTTTTGGCAGTAAAGAATTTCCTGCTTTATCTGTCACTTGTCCCTGCAACTTGGACCACTCTTGGGTCTATTATACTTGGCCTGAAACTTTCAGGAACCGCGAGAGATACTAGACAAACTAAATAAACTTCTTTAGAACCACCCTCCTCCTCCCCACCCAGACCCCACTAAATCTTCTGTTATTTTGCTGTTGTACACAACTAGAGCCATCCAGAGTCAGATAAGCAGAACTATGACAAGCAGGACTATCACTGAGGAATGTCAGAGCAGAATACCAGGTGTCTTCTTTTGTATGACAGACTGATGCTGTCTGGGAAGAACTTATCCTGAGGAGATAAAGCATTAAAAACCCAAGATTGGCATAATAACAATTCCTAGAATCACAGCTGTTGGGAATAAGGATAAAGAATATAGAAAGTAAATCTAACTTTTTTTACAGGTAACATTTTAAGAATTTTCAAAGAATAATGTAATAAATACCTGTATTCTCATCATATTTTCTGGAAGCTTGTTTTTTTAAAACAAACACACATTAGAGAAAAAGCTAAAGTCCCTTTGGAAACTACCTTCAATATCATTTCCTTCTCTTCTCCTTAGACAAAATCACTATTATGAGTTTGATGTGAATCCTTTCAGGTCTTGTTACTTTGTATTTAGTACAATATAGTATTAGCCATAAAGTTATCTTCTTTCCTCGTTCTCAAGAACTCATATATAGGTCCATAAAAGAGAAGATACAAGCAAAAATTGAAAGAGCCAGTGTTAGGGAGAAATAATTCGTATTTAAGACACTGGAAGAATGTGTGGTAGAAAAAAGGAGAAAAGGGTTCTTTCTACTTTACTAAAGTAGCATTAGTGCAATAATTCAGGGCTAAGGTAAAATGATAAGACATCAAAAAGCAACAGTACCACTGCCAGGAGCAGTGCCATCAGCGGCACTAAGCTTCAGTGGACTGCAGCACTAATGCTGTTGATCGTGAGCACAACAGTTTTCTCGAGTAGATGTCAACTGTTTCATCAATAGCCATAGTCAGAGGCAGTATTAGCCATTTTAGAATAGAAGCCCTGGTATGGTCATCAGCATTCTCAATGGTAGCACTGGTGGCTGGAGAAAGGTATTGGAAGTCACAAAAGTTAGTGTAGGCTGAAAGGATTAGATACCCCTTCAAGACTTTCAGAAATTCTGAGGAGGTCCAGAGTTTAGGGAAGAGTATAAACTAACCAGAGATATACTGTTTATTACTGTTAAAATAGTAACAATAAAGAGGATAACTGCCTGGGGAAAGAACTCTTGCTTTGGTATGAGACCTTAACGGGTTGTGCCCTAGGAGGAGGGATATGAATTTTATTTAATGCGGTCAGCTCAGTAGCCAAAAAGCAGGGAGAGAAAACCTCAATTCTTGATCTCAGATTGCTAGCATCTTCAAATGCCTACAGGAAGTAAACAAAAATTCTCCCTGATCAAAGATAACATCACCTAGGTTTAAAATTACTGCTACAAATAATTTTTCAAATATAATATTTACTAAACAATCAGTGGTAATGAAGCAAAATTCCTGTCTCTGGCCAAGGCCAGAATAACTAGTTCAAGAATATCTCTCCCACTGTAAGTAACTGTAAAACTGGACACAATGGATCAAGCAACTGCTTTCAGGGAGAAGATACCAGGTACCATAAGACTAATCTTGGAGGTAATGGAAATCCATTAGGTGAACTCCATGATTCTCAGCTCACTTCCTTGGTATATGTTCCTGACAACAGCACAGAACACTGAAGTACAAGCAGAATACAATGATCCTGTTGAGCTGAAGTGGAAGAGATCAGAATTTGAAGCAGCTAAAATCACTGAAATCTGAAGGGCAGAGCATGGCATGGGAGAGAAGAGAGCTAGATAGAAAAGGGTCCTAGAATTCCGAGGCACCAATGTGTTTCTGTCGCGAAGAACTTGATTCAAAAAAAATTGCTGGGCTCCATTTCCAGAGTTTCTGATTCAGCAGGTAAGGATGGAGCCTGAAATATGTATTTCTATCATGTTTCTAGGTGACATTGATGATCCTGACCCAGGACCAAACTTTGAAAATCACTCTTATTGAACAAGAGACAGTATAAGTTAAAGAGAAAATAAACCAATATCCACTAAACCTTTCACACTCATTCTGAGTTACTAAAGAACTAAAACAGGGAGAAAAAAAAATGGCGTATATCATAGAGACTCTGGTGACCAAATCAAAGTTGTGATGGAAACGAGGAACAAAAGCAAGGAAAAATCACCTGGGATCTAAAGGAACAAGCCATGCAACTAGGGAGAAATCCAAGAAAGCACCCTGCAACAGCAGATGGTAGGATGGGGCAAGGACGTGGTCTCCAGCAGCTGAGTGAGACGGAGGCAGCGGCAGCAGCAGAAGCCTCTTAAAGGGGCCACGACCACGAGTAGATTTTTCCAGTGACAGACCTGCTTGCTCTGATTACCAGTGCCAATTCGGCTGTGCACAGGGGGCACCAGGGACTTACAAGGAGACATTTTCAGAGTGAGGGCTGAGGGGAGACTCATTCTGTACATAAGTGCCATTGTTTCCTGTTGAGCCCTCCCCCATACCAGTGCGCTGGACACAGCGCCACCATAGCCATGATGCCATCAAACTGGATAACAGAGGTCGCTCTGCCCAGAGGATTCCCCAAAACTCCACCTCCCCCAACTCGCAGCCCTACCCAAGCCACATTCAGTTATGTCCTTGGCAAGTCTGGTGCCACTTGCAGAGCAGCACCAAGACTCACACTGGTGGCAGCTGATCTTGGTTTCTGGTGTGGCTTCTGGAGGCAACTATAAGCATAGCATCTGAATCTTAACAGGTGGCCCTGGGGCAGAGTGGCAGCGGCGGCGGGGAGGGAGTGTTAGAGGTTTGGGCTAAGTTTGGCCTGCAGCTGAAC